ACTGACAAGGCTATTGTCAGGCCGTCGACTGTTCGGACCATTGTTACTGTCAGTGATACTCCCTCATTTCATCTGTTTTATCCTCCCTCTCTCTCTGTTTCTCGGTTTTCATCTCGGCATCGGCTCCTCGCTGATTGGTTAGATTTGGGGTTTCCATTCACCTTCACCTTTTATCCGGGTGTCATGTGACATCCGTGTTAGAAATTGATTAGCCAGGTTACCCCCCACCCCCCACCCCACCTAAATGTCTTCGTTTAATTCATTTTTTATTGTCGTTACGACCCCTGGAGATTCTAGCGTTTTTTTTTTCTTGCAAGCTAAATTTTTAATTCGAGTGTTTTGAAATAATCAGATGACATTTCTCATTATACGTGTTTACTTTGATTTTACCGTACATATTTATTTCATAAATATATTTACAAACTACGATCCGGTATACACAATTAAAATAAAGTTTTCCATTTTTATTGATGCTATCTTTAGAATTTAACAACCATGGTTTGTGTATAATGGATGTGGAGAAGATTCAATTTTTATTCCTGTGTGTATCAATAAAGGCTTGTCAAAATGAAATATACATTTTACAAAAAGCAATGTGTATATAGTAGAGTTATGTTTTTTTTTATGATAAGAGATGTAAATCTAAATAATTCAGTGATATTTTTAACTTTTTTTTGTGTGAGTATGAAGTAAGTAAAAATTCTGACGTGGTTTTTGTTTCAGTTTTAAAAATTATACAAGAAGAAGAAATGTACATTTAGGGAGGACTTGGACGGGGCAGCGAGAAACTATGTGTGTGTGTGTGGGGGGGGGGGGGGGAGGAAGGGGGTGGGGATCGCTCTCATGCATTGGTGAGACACAGAGGTGCGAGCCAGGAGTGGGAGGGACCCCACATTCCCGATACAGTCTGGGCTAATGACTCCAAGGCCGGCTCTCTGGTGTCAGAGGTCAGCCAATTTTCCGCTCCCGTGGCCGCGCGAGATTTGAGCGAGACGACATCGGCGTGCCATTAAGGGGAGCCGGAGACCGGCACTGCAGCCGGCAGCTGGTCTTCCCACACCTTGCACGTTGGTGTAAGACTTTTCAATGGAACGTTCCCCCATACAGTTTTTTTTTTAATAATTAATTTACTATGTTCCTTCAACAAGTTTTTAAATTACTAATTAGATTACACATAACAAGTTACAAACTAAAGACGACAAACCTGTAAGATGTTGCTTGCAGATTTTTGAAAAAAAGATTGTCTTTATAAAATAAACAAAACAACAACACACGTATGCTAGGGTATTTAAATGTCTTTTGTGAAAATGGGAGACAATCCAAGATGGTCCCAGATGCAATCAACAAATACCTGTTTTTACATTCCATTTTTTTCTGCGTCATTTGATTAATTAAGCAACGTAATTAGTCTTAGTTTTGCGTTGATATACAGTACCCTTTTCTACTGTTATTATTACCTCTCGATTACTTTATTTCACTCAAGTACTGAAAATAAGACAATATATGTTTTTATATTTACACAAACTCATTTATTAATATACTGCTTTGTATACTACTTTGTTCAGTGCATATATCTGTGTATATAAATATATATGTATATGTATATGTATATATATATATATATATATATATATATATATATATATATATATATATATATATATAACCTATATATATATATATATATATATATATATATATATATATATAGAGAGAGAGAGAGAGAGAGAGAGAGACAGAGAGACAGACAGACAGAGAGATGCGTAGGTGTGCGTGTAGTTAGTAATGCCCATTTGTGTAAAAACAAAACGATGACACAATTAAAATATGTCCAGGCAATGTATTTTAGCCCCCCCCCCCCACATCCCACCTTCCCCTCCCCCCTCTCTTCCCCGCCACACACATTCATAACCCACCAGAATTTAATCTGGTAGAAACAATAAATAAAAAAACAAAAACCTAGCTAAATCTGGTGTTGTCTCCCCTCGCAGTCTTGCTAAACTTGGGCACAGACTGCAATACATTCACCTCCCCGGATTTTTTTTTTTTTTTTTTCGTCTGTGTGACACTCGGCATCACCTCGACATATGTCTCGGTGGCCAGGAAAGGGTTAACGAGACGTTGGCGGCAGTAAAACTTCCATGCCAGGAGCGACTCCCCCGCCCCTGCCCTCCTATTGTAAGCTTCAGTTAATCCCACCGTGACGGGGGGTTTGTGGTGGTAATTTGTAAATAAAATGACAAATGGGAATAATTTGTCCTTGACAAATTGTTGAAATATTTTTGTTACGTTTATTTTTTTTTTTTTTTTTTGTGTTTGTTAGTCAATTTTAGAAACTATAAATAGGAAAATTTTGATATATTGCACACCGTTTACTGCAGATAATTGAACAGATTGTATACCAGACTTATAAAGAACTACACATTCAAACTCTTATTACATAGTTTAGTTGTATCAAAATACTCTATTTTTAAAATTGTAACGAAAATAATATTTTTGTTGATAAAATTAATTTTTTAGAAACAAATTATGTTACATCTAGAAGGTCAGTTGAAAAAATTTAACCATACACATTTTTTTTACCATTTTCAAGAATACAAATTTATTTTTTTGTTTTATTTTCCCCACCAAAACAGAAATTATACTTAAAAGATCATTTTATACTATCAGAAAAACTATAGTAGAAGTATATTTTCAAGGCAGCAAATAATTGAGAACTCTCAAAAGTTAGACAAAAACAGTTAACATTGCTCACCAAACAAAAACAAGTGTTTAGTCTGTCGTGAGTTAAGCATACCGACCGGAAGTTATCGATATACGTGATACATCCAATCAGGTCAGAATTTCATCTTCTAAACATAGCAGTTATTCATTATTATTTCTGGCCATAGTTTCACCTGTTGAAATAAACCCAATAAAGATTGAAGTTACCATTTTCATCATCTTATATATATATATATATATATATATATATATATATATATATATATATATATATATATATATATATATATATATATATATATATATATATAGTTCGATTTACCTATGTATTTATGCATATCTATTTTTTATACAAACGTATGCATATAAATGTATATATGTAAAAGCACGTATGCATATCTAATGTAGATGCGATAGTTGTAAGGAGACTACCACACAGTGTGTACAGTGCCTGTACCCCCCCCCCCACCACCACACGCCGCCCCTGCACCCCTGGCCGACATATGGGCCTACACCAGCTAGTGACAGGCGAGTAGGTGTCAGCCCGTAAGTCAGCGGGTTAATGAGGTATGTGCCAGCCTGGCGAGCTGTCAACCCATTTGTCATGGCAGTCGTGGTTATGTGGGACATCATGACCACTGGTCATTTGTTTGTTTTTTATAGCAGACGGGTTACAAGATATGTATTACAAAAGATATATTTGTTTATCAACACGTTAATTACTAATTTTTAGTGTTGTAAAATTTGTTTCGTGAATATAACTCCGAGGATTATTTACTTAACAAAGTTAAATAATATATATATATATATATATATATATATATATATATATATATATATATATATATATATATATATATATATGGGTGTGTGTGTGAGAGAGAGAAATAAATATAAATATATTTGTTTATCAACACGTTAATTACTAATTTTTAGTGTTGTAAAATTTGTTTCGTGAATATAACTCCGAGGATTATTTACTTAACAAAGTTAAATAATATATATATATATATATATATATATATATATATATATATATATATATATATATATATATATATATATGTATGTATATATATGGGTGTGTGTGTGAGAGAGAGAAATAAAGTGTGTGTGTGTATTTAGTCCATGCTCATACCTGTGTCATATTATTAACATGTGTTTGTCAACCACACACCATTAACACTTGTTAGCTATGACACCACACACGACACACACTTAACCTCTGTTACCTATGCATGACACCACACACCATTAGCCCCTGCTACTCATGCCACCACACACCATTAACCTCTGTTACCGATGACACACCACACCACACACCCTTAAACCCTGTTACCTATGACACCATACACCATTGACCTGTTACCCATGACACCACACACCCTTAACCCCTGCTACCTATGACACTATACACCATACACCACACACCCTTAACCCCTGCTGCCTATGACACCATACACCATGACACCACACACCCTTAACCCCTGCTACCTATGACACTATACACCATACACCACACACCCTTAACCTCTGCTACCTATGACACCATACACCATGACACCACACACCCTTAACCCCTGCTACCTATGACACCATACACCATGACACCACACACCCTTAACCTCTGCTACCTATGACACTATACACCATGACACCACACACCCTTAACCCCTGCTACCTATGACACCATACACCATGACACCACACACCCTTAACCCCTGCTACCTATGACACTATACACCATGACACCACACACCCTTAACCCCTGCTACCTATGACACCATACACCATGACACCACACACCCTTAACCTCTGCTACCTATGACACCATACACCATACACCACACACCCTTAACCCCTGCTACCTATTACACCATACACCATGACACCACACACCCTTAACCCCTGCTACCTATGTCACCATACACCATACACCACAGACCCTTAACCCCTGCTACCTATGACACCATACACCATGACACCACACACCCTTAACCCCTGCTACCTATGACACCATACACCATACACCACAGACCCTTAACCCCTGCTACCTATGACACCATACACCATGACACCACACACCCTTAACCCCTGCTACCTATGACACCATACACCATGACACCACACACCCTTAACCCCTGTGACCCATGACACCACACACCCTTAACCCCTGCTACCTATGATACCACACACCCTTAAACCCTGTTACCCCTGTTACCCCTGCTACCTATACCACCACACACCCTTAACCTCTGTATATTTCTCTACCCCAGGTCTCCTCCATCAACCGAGTACTACGTAACCTGGCCAGCGAGAACCAGAAAGTCATGGGCCAGGGCTCCATGTACGATAAGCTCGGGCTCCTCAACGGTCAGGGCTGGCCGCGCCCCAACCCCTGGTACACCCCCACGGTGTCGGCCATGGGCGGGCTGGCGCACCCCTCGGCCTACTCCCCCTCGCAGGCCGCCTCGCACCATCTCCTGCACGAGAAGAAAAGTGAGTGGCACGGTATGTGATGACGTCACGGGTTTGTTGTTTCCTTAATTTCCTACTTCTGTTGTCTCGCTGCTCCTCAGATCAAATTTTAAGACTCCTTTGTTGAGGTTCGTATCTACCAACCATACACATAATCAGGTCAACGGTTGATGACCTCATCTATCTAAGCCGGGCCTTGAGGTTAAGATTAGGATTAGGTTAAATGCCAGGGTAACAGTTGTTTTTTTTTGGTAAGGGGCATGGAAGCCGAGTAAGTAGTAAAAGTAAATCAAGTTCTTCTTTAGACCTAGCGGTCCCATGGGTAGATGAATTAGAGTTCATATGTTACTTGACTTTGGTATATGAAAGGATTCGTGTGGTCAGCACTATGCCCAGCTGCGTTTACTTCCCCCAACATAATTCAGGTACCCATTTGAGCTGGGTGGACTCATGGGACGTTCTACGGAAGTTGAACCCAGATTCGAACTCGAGACTTTCGGGTTAGCTGTCGTATGCTCTACAAGTCCGAAACAAGATCCGAACTCGAGACTTTCGGTTTAGCAGTCGTATGCTCTACAAGTCTGAACCAAGAATCGAACTCGAGACTTTCGGGTTAGCTGTCGTATGCTCTACAAGTCTGAACCAAGAATCGAACTCGAGACTTTCGTGTTAGCAGCCACACGCTCCATCATACGAGAAAGCCGTGCTGAATGAAACTGGCCGAGTATGAAATGTAAACTTAATCAAGCAATACCAAAAAAAAAACTAAAACAAAACAACATTGTACTTGTATTCATTACGCATACACGTATCAATTTCATGTGTGTAGTTTTCAAGTTGTCCGCTCCACTAAGAAAGTCGTTAAACGAATTTATTATTTACAACCTGGTTGTAGAGAGCTGAGTCACACACTGGTAAAAATTTATCAGCTGTAGCAGGGATGTAACAGAGAACTGCCTACATGTGAAAAAAAGGTTAAAAAAGGTTTTAACAAGGTTAAAAAAACAATTTTAACTACCATTTCACCAGTTGATTGAAGTCTGATTGCAACCACCCACAGCGTCTCATCAAAAGAGCTAAACACTTTCAACAAAACATAACAAACTTGGAAGATAGTTAATAATTTACTAAAACAACAATTGCTATTTTTTTTTAAGTAGGCGGGTAACAAAATGCTAAAATAAATAGACAACGCATGAACGCATACACACATACACATACACGCATACACACACACACACAGACACACACACAGACACACAAACAAACACACACACAAACACAACGGATATATACAACAACAGCACAAGTACACAGACACTTATAGTCACATAAAAAAAAAAACCTACACACAAACACAACATAGGCGCAAACCGGGTAGGACCAATGCACACAGTTTAAGAACAGTGGCACGTTTTACGAATACATTCTTTATTTGTTGAAGACAAATATTAAAACATGGTCAAATGAATTAGAATAAATAACAGAGTTAGATATTGCGTTTTAATCATAACGAACGAAAGCAACACACCCATAAAGATAAAAGAAAAAAACAACATATTATCATGTGTCCAAATATGCTGGCCTAATGTAAGCATTAAAGCTACTACAATATTCGCTTAATTTAAAAACGAAGTACCATCCCCCCTCCCCTACACCCATAAAGATAAAATAAAGAAGAAAAAATATAACAGAATATCATGTGTCCATATTTGCTGGCCTAATGTAAGCATTAAAGCTACTACAATATTCGCTTAATTTAAAAACGAAGTACCCTCCCCCCCCCCCCCCCCCCCCCCCCCATCGCCACCAACTTTTTGCGCTCGTAGAACTTTAAAGCGCGTTAATTAAGCCAAAGCGCGCGGGGCCGGTGGAAACACGTCCCCGACCCACGGAACTCACCCCGCTGGGTATCATCGTGAGGTCAAGGACGCACACAGTGGATCTCCCATGCTGCCACATACGTTTCCGTTTCCCTCCGCGCGTGGCTAGCGTGAGCAGTGCGGGGAGCGCGTGCCAGGGTGTGAGTGTGACGGACCGTGAAGAGCCGGGAGTGACAAAATGGCGAGAGGAGGGAGGGAGGGAGTGACGGAGGAGGGGGGGGGGGGAATTAAAACAGTCGGCGAACATGAAGTAGAAAGGAGTGAGCTAAATTAGTGTCCAGTAGAAAGGGGAAGTAATTTAGAATGTTTTGAAATACAACCACACCATCCACTCCACGCGAAGGTTTCAGACTAAAAGAGTTCCCAGAGAATTTGAGCTTTAATGCGTACCATAGCTAGTTACCCTAACCATATCTCTAACCCTATCTCTAACTCTAATCCTAAAATTCCTCTTGATGCTATTTCAAAATTCTAACCTTCCAATGACAAAACTTTTTATTTTATTTGTTTTGTTCGATTTTATATTTTAGTTACTATACGTTAACAATTCCGTACCGGCTTCAGAATTTCGAGTTTTGTTTCAACTCAATTTATTTGAGACATTCTACATGCTCTTGTATTTACAACATAAATTTAGTGATAACAAGTATAGAAGCAGGCATTGTTAGTGAAGTGCTACTATAGTATATCTTCAGCGCCGAAGGTAGATACAGGTCGATATGAAGGCGTTGTCACAACAACGTATGTCCAGTATTGATACATTTTTAACTACGCAAAATTATCTTCAAAATTATGCATCGTCATCTTCTCGTTCTAAAATTAATGTTGGACGGGATTTCATCGAACACAGTTAATATGGTATAACCTGTCAACTTGTTATGTGGCTGGTTATCTTTCTTGATTTGCCTTAGTCCTCTCAAGAATAAATTACAAGGCAGCAGTTGTTTGATTTTGGAGTTGTCTCTCCTAGATGGGTTGTTGTCCCCTGCTGTCGAACTTCATCCGCCCTGGGGTTTGAACTCAGGATTGTTCGGTTTAACAAACATAAGCCTTATCTGTCCGACCACATTGTTGTCTTCTAAAACACGTATTTTGATATTTTAATCATAATTTATCTTCAAAACTATGCCTCGTCTTCCAAATACGTAGGCCCTATTTTGATTTTAATCGTAATTTATCTTCAAAACTATGCCGTATCTTCCAAACAAATATTTTGATTTTGATCGTAATTTATCTTAAAACTATGCCTCGTCTTCCGAACACATATTTTGATTTTAATCGTAATTTATCTTCAAAACTATGAACACATATTTTCCACTTAGGCGCTGTATAATTTTTAAACCTGACTGCACAGGTTCGTAATTCAGTTCGTTGGCTACTAGACAATCACAATATCACGCTCTTGCATATAGCTGTACCACAACAATATCCATGTCAACAATGGATTTACCATCTGTGCCCGCGAACTAAAAAGTTGTGTATACAACAATAGAACAATATAATCGCAGGTTCAAAACTCTAAGTCTTCTTCAAATTGAAGAGCGCTGTATCTTCTATTACACAAGTGTTGGCTCCTCGGTCTGTGTTTAGGATCACCTAAACTTGCTTTGACATTCCAATTCGAATGATGGATGAGATCTCTACGTCCAAGATCTGTAGAGTTATCGCCCTTACCCAGGAGTTAACGCCCTTGGTCTGGAGTTAATGCCCTTGTTCTATGAGAGCGTACAGATTTCACCAGAGTTAGTTTTACAATGACAGGCTTGTGGGGGTAAGTGCGAGGTTCATGTTGTGGAGAGTGAAACGATTCAAAAAATAAATAAGATTGGCGGGATTCCTGTAACAATTAAATCGTGGGTCTAAATATTTTTAGTTCCTCGGATAATTAAACGGCTGTGTTTCAGGGGAAAAACTATATCAGTTTAATTGACATTTGCAGCGTTGATGTTTGATTATATAGGTTATAGTTAGTTATTTTGATATTCTTTTCTATTATTTGGTATGTTATCCTGAGCTACTGTTCTATAATTTTTGCTAAATGGAGTTTATATTAATATAGACTGGTATAATAGTTTATTCCCTTAAGAGTATGTTTTATATAGTTTTTGTTATACGGAGCTAAGTGTTTTATTAATCAATTTGTTACATGCAGCTATGTTATATTTGATATAGAAAGTTTATGCTCAGTTTGTTAGATAGATGTTTTGTTATATGGATATATTTATATTAAGCTTTAAAATTTGTTGAAGAGATGATTTAATACTGATTAGCTAAGGTCTGATGAGTTGTGATATGGAAAGTGTTAATTTTCAACATGCGAACCTCGTACATTCTATATTGCGATAGGGACCAACCACTTTACATATCACCTTGCTACTTACTTGATCACGTGACAATATATTATAGAAGAATGTGGAATTATAACACGTCAAATGTTCATTTAGCCGTGTCGGATTATACTCATAAGACGCAATTAACCCAACCGTACACATGCCTTAGCACCCATGGGGATTATCCTAATTCCCGTCCCCCCCCCCCCCAGAGACCCGCTCGCGAGTGTCAAAATACCCCGTGGTCAAGGGACGTAAGAACCACGAGTTAAGTCAAGGGAGACAATCGTCAGCTGATGTGACCTGAGAGGTAAACGTGCGACCCTTCACCGCAATCAGAAAAACTCGTGTTGATGACGTATTGTTGCGCGATCAAATCCTAAACCCTACCGCGAAAAATAATCCGGGTGTATGACGCTTATCGTCGGGTTAACCCTATGATTCAACGCCTTTTAGAAGTGTCTGGATTCCACCTCAATAACGGAAGTAACCAAAAGTAGTAATTACCTCTAAAAGAGATTTTTTTTTTCAACAGGATTAGATGTTTTTGAAAAGATTTCGATGCTAAAAGTGTGTGTGTGTATGGGGGGGGGAGGGAATTCGTAGCTTGAAATAGTCCTCAAGTAGTTATAATTTACCCTGAGACAAGAAGACGACAAGGAGAGGACAATTATGCAAGTTCGGAGGACCAGGACACGGATATGAAATAATTAATTGACATAGTCCCAGAAAAAAAGGCTGCCCTAATTTCCACTTCCGCTCTGGCCCTCCGGCCACAAAGAGGTTTCTCGACGACCGGAAGGGCTGGTCTGAGCGTGCGCACTGATCAGAGATCAAACGGCAAGGGAATCTTCCTACTGGCGGTTCCGAATGTTCGGAAATTTTCACGTCCGCTGCGTAGTGGTTTAAATTTCAACGTATATTTTTTTTTTAAATAAATAAAAAAGAAATGCATCCGATCTTATTTAGTTTAATCTCAACAGATTATGGGAAGAAATTTTCAGATAAATCGCTTACCAATTTTAATCATAATTAGTGCTCAGATTAAATGTGCCAGAAATACAATCTCGCTTAATTTAAAACAAATATATTTTTTAAAATTGTACTCTCTCTCTGTCTCTATCTCTCCCTCTGTATATATATATATATATATATATATATATATATATATATATATATATATATATATATATATATATATATAAAATGTCTGATTTTCGTTTTGAATTAGCAAACCTTACCACAATAGCATTCTAAATGACTTTGTTGTTAATTTCTTGTTTCTCATTCTTTCCGCCCAAAATTTCAACAAGCCAAATCTGTGACGTAACAGTTTTGCACCCTGTGAACTATAACCCCTGTGTTTCTCTTGTTTTGTGTTTTTTTTTTCACCTTACGTTACTTCCCACATTATGTTCTTATTTTTTATCCCATTCACACAAAAATGGCGCTTTTACAAAAAATATTTCCCCCCATTATTTTCAGACCCTGAACGTATTTCCTTTAATACACTAAATTCAAAATTAAAGCGACGCCATATTCATTCCAAGCAATTAATTAGCTATCAACATTTTTTTTTGTCTATTTTCACGGACAACTGTTACCTTTTATTGGCTCCGGATGCCGGGTGAAAAATTCCCCCAACTTCAAATCAAACGACTTTACCGTTTTATTTTCATAGACAATTGCGCCGATGTTTCTCGCATAGAATCGCTACGTCGCTTTACGCCCCCGCCCCTCGCCCCTTAAATACGACGCCGGGGCTGCGTGTCTTTTGTGCACCCTGCCGACGCCTAGTCTAGCGCCCTTTCAGCCTAAAGAACCAAAATCACCCTCCGCCTTATACAGCGACGAGTAAAATCGCGAAGAAACCTTCTCGCTGGTGAAAGTCATTCTCCTGCCCGTTCAATTCCCAGCATTATTTTCATTTCGCGATTTGTTTGGAGCGCGAAGATAAATATGTTTCAGCTTTCCCCGACAGAGAGGAAAAAAAATATTTCCCCCGCGCGTACGATTCTTTACGTAAAGACGCACAGTTTTATTTTTAATCTTCGCGAAGCTTTGACGATTGCGAAAATATGGAAACTTATTTCATTCCGATCTTACTTTTCAGTTAATTGTATTTGAATATAAAGGTTTTATTCTTTAAATAATAAAATAAAAAGTTTCTTGGCGATAAGTTTTACACTGGCATCCCTGTATTTAGTATCGTTGAAAAATATATTTTATCCACAAACATAAACCTAAGTTTAATCTTTGATGTAAACCTAAACCTAAGCCTAAAATCTGCTCTAAACCTAAATCAAAGTCTAAAACCTGCACCAAACCTAAACCAAAGTATAGTCTACGGCCTATATAAGCTTTAGGATAAATATGCACTTTACAATAACCGAATAGTTACAAAGTTTTTCTTAAAAAATGTTATATTATTTAAAATTAAAATAAAAAGAAATTAAGTTAATTTTTTTTCTTCTGTTTAAAGCGCGTAAAATGTTTTATTTTTTTTTATATCTCGTATAGCAAAGTATTTAAAATATTAAAACATGGTCTATAAATAGATTTTTAAAAAATTAAAATGGCGTCAACATTACGAGAACCTGCATTTGTAAGAATAAGAATCCACGGCTGACGTCATAACAGTCACATCAACCTCTTTCTACGGACCAGTCCCCCCCCCTCCCCAACCACTTTCTTTTAACGTGAAAACAAACAATATGCTGTTTACATGTTTCATTACAAAACATGTGAAAAAAAAGACGTGAAACACGCGATCTGTTTGACTTTTAAGCACGTTTCTGTCCGTAAAGTCAAAATAATTATCTTAACCCTTCAAGTGCCAGCACCGTTGTTAAACCCAACAAAAGGGTCTGCCATGTTAAGGGTTAACGCAGTGTTGAACTAAAAGGGTTAAGCATGGACGTGATGTTTGGGTGTGTTCCGCTACCTAGTCTTACCAATCATATAGGGCTCAGGGATAAACAGGATTTCTTTAGGATAATGGGTGTTTGTATTTTCTCTAGGTATAGATTTACAAGAGGTGTACGTTTGAAAATAAACACCCTCTCTCAAGAAAACTTTACATGTGTATGTTTGTCTGTTAGTTTGTTTTAGTTTTAACTCTAAGTAGTGAAGGCTGGGACAATAAGAACAGCTTTTCTGTTTTTAAATTACATCTTAGAAGACTATCTACATGCTGTTGTATTGTGTTGGAAACTACTGGAATAAATCTATTCATCATATATTATAAACACACTCCAGACATTGTAATTAACTTCTCAAAAATTAAAAACCGACTTTAAAAAACAGTAAATGCTCAGTAAATAAAATAAAAACGTTCTTTTACGCTTAATTATAATCATAAAGTCACGATAGAAATATAACATAAACTAGATCATCCATGACTTTATTTTATAATGACAAAATATCATTTGTTTACTAAGATGCCATGTTGTTTTTTTCACAATATATTTACGCCCCTAATATAAAACATGTTATATGCAACTATGATCATCAAACTCAATTACTTGTTAATTAGAACAATCCCTTGATATTATCATTCATTAAAACACAACACAACTAGCTAAAGTTTATCTTAAAGCGCTTATAAAGATATTCAGAAAATTTGCCCCCGAAAAAATATCCCGTGAGTTGCATATCCTAAGGGACCCAGCGCTAAATAAACCGGTCGTTCCTTAATCAGCGGAGCGTATCGTTTCCATGGATAATCGGATTAACGAGCTCAACCAAAATCCACCCGGCCCAATCGTGGCTCCGTATTTCGATGGCCCTCTGACGTTCCGTCATTAGCTAATTCTGTTTAAATGACGAATTTCGAGTCAGCCTTGTCAAACTAGCAGAATAAACTGCCCACAATTTGAACGTTGCGGAATATTTTTCCCCATCTATTAAATTTAATTACGTAATTTTAATTACGACGCATGTTATTGTTTAGTGTTCGTGTTATTCATTCAAAGTTAAGTCGTGTTTATGATCAATTTTAACGGAGTAATATATATATATTTATGTATTTTATTAATTAACAATCAATTTCCCGATACACGATTTTAACCACTTTAATTGCTTGTTGAAGCTATTATCCGGTTAACATTTAGACATAAATTGGAATTGATTTGATATAACTTGGACTGGATAAAAATTGCACCTTTTGATAAATAAGTCAAAGGGAATAAAATGAACGATTACAGAAGAATAAAGAAATTCCTACATCTAGATTAATGTATATTGGTTGTAGAAGTCTTTTCCGTATAGATTTTTTGATCTCGATATTTAGTCCACAATAAAATTTCAGAATCGGGTTTTAGAATGAGAAAGGGGGAGAGTAGGGTCAGAATATTTGATGAAACGGGTCGCGTCGGTTCCAAGTATTTAAAAGCAAGGGGCAGTAACAAATGGCGCACCAGAAGAGGGAGATAACCTCGTCAGATCTCCTGTCTATTGTCCCCCGTGTCCGTGTGCGCGCGTCATGACAACTGTCCACTCACATCTCACGTGCGGATGCGCTCACACTCTGACCCCTCTCGTCGCACCCCCGTGACCCGCACCCCCTGCCATCAAATCAGCCCGGGACCCCAAAACCTGCCGCAGTGGCAAGAGGCACGTGGACGCCCGATTGTTTGACCAACGCTCCTGAGTTTCATGCGGTCGGTTCCATCCCTTCTTCCACCGATCTTCTAGATTATTCTAGAAGAAAAAAAAACCACCCCTCTATTTTATTTATTCTTACTGGGAGCGAAACTGATGGGATGCTGTGTGGGGGTGAGGTCTAGGGGCGCATCTTTACGATACCCGGCACCAACTGCCCGCGCATGCGCCCTTTGTTGATTCTAGCATGGACATTAGACCTCATTTACATCATCTTTCCTGACGGGTTCGTCTGCCACGTGTGTTGGGCGGAAGTGACGCGTGTCCGTGGTTTTAAAATAACCGCATGATTTATATGAATTCATTGAAACGCCAAAAGACAACAGAAACATACTGTTAAATAAAATTTATACAAAAATATTTGTATTCAATTTTATTTATTCAATTTATTCCATACCGTTAACAACAGTAGACACAAAGGCCTTTTTTCACATTGGCTTAAAACAAACAACATAATATCATTATTTTAATAAAGAAGCAAATGAGTAGTAAAGACATAGCAGTAACATAGCATTCATAAATTAGAAGTAAAGAAATCATGTGGTATATATTTTCAGTATATATATACTGAATATAACAATATATTTAGAATAATTGCAATATAGGATTGTAAAATTTAAATACGTTTTTAACTGTTAAGTACAAAATTTGTTTTCGATAGATCAAACGAATTTTTTTTTTGCTTTACGAAATCCAGTATAAGACTAAGCATATTGATTAAAAGTAATTAAAAATTACATTATTAACACAATTTAAAAAAAACAAAACTTTGAGCTACAAACCTATGACGTTTAGCTCAAGTGGGTCTTAACCAGATTTAAAATGAATTCGAAAAGGATAAACAATATCTGAATCTCACCAAGGATATACCTTAGTACTCTAAACACTCTTAATTATTTGCGTTTAATTAATTATATTTTATAATACACATCAAATCTATACCAACAACAACTAGCTTAACTTGAATAAAATGTAAATTTTCAGCCCAGCAGCCGACCACTATCTGCTGTTCCAGCAAATTTAACAGTTGTTGTCTTTTTATCTGCAGATGATCTGATTAGCAGCGCCGGCTCCACCGGAAGTCAGAGCGACGGGCAGACCGGAGAGACAGATGAGCAAATGCGCATGCGTCTTAAACGGAAGTTACAAAGAAACCGGACGTCGTTCACGGCTACGCAAATAGAATCATTGGAGAAAGGTCGGTTTTGTAAACATTTTTTTTTCTTTAGCCAAAAGTTTAAAGCAGATCATTTAAACATTTTATTCAAAAGTTTAAGGCCGCTTATATAAACGTTTTTGGCCAAAAGATTAAGGCCGCTTGTTTAAACATTTTTAAGCCAAATGTTAAGTCGGTTATATAGTAAAGTTCCCTTTTGAAAATGGCCGCCCACGGGTCAGGTGAAGTAGAGTTCGCCTCTTTATGTGACCTCGGCATATGAAAGGATACTGTTACCAGAGTTATACCCAGCCGCCTTTACCTTCCCTAACGTATGTCAGGTACTCATAAGAGTTGGGTTGGCTCAGGGACGTGCTACCACTCTAGCCAGGGACCCGAACTCGAGACTTTCAGGTTAGCAGTCGAACGCTCTACCATTCGACCATGCCGTCCCATGATGCAATTTTACCTGGCTTAAGCTGGGGCTGGGGGTTTAAAGACACTAGTTTTGCATTATTAGGAAATCACTGAGTCATCTCAGCTCTAATGGGTACCAAGCTCAATATTGGGGAAGTCACTGTGGCTGAGCATGAAACTAACCAAGTTATACCTACATAAACCGAGGTTACAGAAATGGTTTACCTCTTCATTACATTCTATACTCAACCCAAAGTCAGGAAATATCTCTTTTACCTGTTTATTTAAAAGCACACAATTATCTTATATAGTAAGGTCAGATAAAGAAATAAATTCTATCGCATCAGCCAAGTGACCTGTTTAACATAAAAGCAAACACAAAAATTGATAATGTTCCATATTCTTTTTTGATGCTAACATTTAAAAATATTAGAAAAATAAACTGATCAAATTAGACACACACAAAAACTACTTGTTTAAAAAAAATCCAAATTGTTTTAACAATATCTCCATCATTTGTTCTCTTAGTTGTTTCACTATGTTTTTTTTACAACAGTTTAAAACAGATTAAAAATTTATTTTATGGAGTAATAAATGTTTCCAGCCAATCCCCGCCGTAATCTGAAAGTACAAATCGACTACGTCTATTACACATAATTTTCTGAATACAGTCGAAACTACTTTAGTCCGATTTTTAAACAGCTGTGTATATAAAGCATGTATTTCTATCGGCGTATTGATACCAATGTTTCAGAGTTTGAACGGACTCATTACCCAGATGTCTTTGCGCGCGAGCGACTCGCCCAGAAAATAGATCTTCCCGAGGCAAGGATCCAGGTGTGGTTCAGCAACAGGTAATTGACCTACAGTTTACGTCTGCTAGGGTTTCTTTCAGACATGCTTTTTTTCTTGTGGGCTCAAAAAAACTTCCGCGGAGCGCACCTAGCATTTCCATGGAACGGAAAATGGTTATAAGTCGTCCAGAGGGGCGATGGACGTACTACGGGGGGGGGGGGGGGGGGGGGGATAGAGTAACTTAGTCTTATAGTGGTCAATGGTTAAATTAATAATGAAGTAGCATTGTGGTCAAAGGGTTAAGTAATTAAAAAGTCTTATAGTGTTCAAATGATTAAGTAATAAAGTAATCTTATAGAAATGAATGGGTTAGGTAATTATAAAGTATTGTAGTGGTCAAATGATTAAGTAATAAAGTAATCTTATAGAAATGAATGGGTTAGGTAATTATAACGTATTGTAGTGGTCAAATGATTAAGTAATAAAGTAATCTTATAGAAATGAATGGGTTAGGTAATTATAAAGTATTATAGTGGTAAATTGGTTAAATAATAAAGCAGATTTATAATGGAAAATGGGTTTACTAATAAATCAGCGAAATAAGAGCTCAACGGGATAAAGTTTTATATCACCCTATCGATTGCGTTCGTTAAACATAACTTGGTCACATGTTGGTCAGTGGGGGTTGTTTAAAAAAATTGTCACGTGATCAGAAAAAGGACAGCGGGTTTAAGACTTAACCTTCTCCCCACCATCTTCACGCCAGGAGAGCCAAATGGAGGAGGGAGGAGAAGCTGAGGAACCAGAGGAGGGACGTCTGCAACGGCGCCACGCGGCTCCCCATCAACCACACCTTCAGCAACGGCATGTACCCCGGGGTGCCGTCAGCCATACACCAGCCGATTCCATCCATGTCCGACACCTACAGGTCAGTGGCTTACAGTCTGTGTGTGCGTGTGTAGGTGTTTGTGTGTGGGTGTGTGTGTCTGTGTGTGTGGGTGTGTGTATGTGTGTGTGTTTGGGTGTGGGTGTGTAGGTGTGTGTATGTGGGTGTGTGTGTGTGGGTGTGGGTGTAGGTGTGTAGGTGTGTGTGTGTGTGTGGTGGGTAGGTGTGTGTGGGGGGGTGTGTAGGTGTGTGTAGGTGTTTGTAGGTGTGTGTAGCTATGTTATGTGCACAAAACATGAAGTATAACTGTATAGGCAGCGATGATTTCTAAACATAATATAAAGTTACAACAACGTGTATGTGTTGACATATATCTACGAAGTGATAAGAAAATAGAACTCCCATATTTAATATGTGTGTTTGTATATATATACATATATATATATATATATATATATATATATATATATATATATATATATATATATATATATATATATATATATATATATACATATATATATATATATATATATATATATATATATATATATATATATATATATATATATATATATATATATATATATATACATAGGTGTGTGTGTTTATGTGTTTTATTTTTGAAAACAAAATTGATTCAAATACAAGTGAATAGTTTGCTTATGAGACTACACACATGCAAGCTTGTGTTGCATGTGTGCTGACTTACATTTCTGAGTAAAGACAAAATGTGTGTGGTGTTACAGTGGAGGAGCAGGCAAATGTGCAACCCCTCCCCTTTAAATACAAAAAAAAAATACGGAATTCTTACTTTTGATGCCCCGTAAAGAATATGAACCAAAAATGTAACCCCCCCCCCCCCTTTTTTTTTTCTTTGAGATAATTCTAAAATGCCCCTCCCCCCAGACACACACAAATGACCACCCCATCCGCACCCCTATAGGTACGCTTGTATCTCAAAGTGTTGATTACACAACCCGTTTACCCAAGTTTGAGCCTACTTAATAACGACTGGCTTCGTACGTCTTTTCTCCCTAGGGTTGTATTGGTTGAAAAACTCTAATTAAAAAAAATATAAAGACAGTATCGTTTTTATTATAATATCACAGAGTCAAATTGGCATTGTGTAAGAAAACACATGGGTTCATGGGTAGCTTATTTCAAAATAAAGGATTTTCTTTCATTGGTCCCACATTATTTCTGTTCAATTTTTAAATCTAACGTATAAAAAAATATTTTACCCAAAAGATTGAACAATCAAAATAATAACATTTTTCGAACATATATTTTCAACCCTGGACCGAACAAAATTACATTGACATTTTTTATTGTGGTCTTAGAAATTTTGGCGAGGTGCCAGTTGTTCTCTGGCAAAGTTACGGAAGACGGGTTGGTAACACATCAAAACCAAATATAAAAACAGTCTGTAGTTTGTGAAGCTAGTTTTTTTTAGTAAATTCCAAAAAATATTTTAATCGAATATTTTTATAGCAGTGTTAATTATTTTTTTTTTTTTTTCAAATTCTTGATTTTAATTTTTTTAATCGAGTCAAATATTAAGAAAAGATTAAAGAAAATAGTTCCTAATCTTCTAGCAAAAAAAAAATCGATTTTATGTCAACACATATTGTTTTAAATGCCGAACGTTTCGCGTTAATTGTTTCAGCAACGAGCATAATCTTCAGGTATGAAGATTTCGCACACGCAAACACAGTAATCTCATTTAAGAACAGGGGATAGAAGGATTTTCCCGTTGCAATATTATAACACCATCGTACTGGATTTCAGTGGCGTCACTAGGTCGTGTGTCACCCCCCCCCAATCTCGCCTCTAATGACGCCTCTGCTAGGTTCACAGGATTAGTTGACTAAAATTTTTAACTTGGTGCCGCTTATAAAATCATTGCCGCCTGTGATATTTAACAAAGAGGTTGTAAAAATGTAAATCTCATTGCTGCCTGTGATATTTCGGCCTCTCATATCTAACACGATGGTTGCATTCTACTTTCAGCTCGATGCCGCCTATGCCAAGCTACTCTCTCTCCAACAACATACCCCCCAACCCAGCCTGTTTGCAGTCGTCTGCTCCTTCGTCCTACTCGTGTATGTTACCCGGTAAGTGGAGCGGTAAGTTTCCGGTTCTGCTTTCTCCATTTCTGATTGGCTAGTTCACAAAAATCACAGAAAATAGCCTACTCATAGGTTGGAATTGTATATATATATATATATATATATATATATATATATATATATATATATATATATATATATATATATATATGTATATATATATAATATATATATAAATATGTATAGCCTATATATATATATATACTTATTATATATATATATATATACATATATAAATATAATATATAAATATGTATAGCCTATAGGCCTATATATATATACTTATAATATATATATATATATATATATATATATATATATATATATATATATATATATATATATATATATATATATATATATATAGTTAAAATTTAACTTAACATAAGTTTTATAATTTGTTTTCATTTTGTAATTAAATCATTATAGAAATACTATTCTATAAATAACTAGCTTCTGAATTAAATAATTAATTTATAATTAGCATTTAATGACTTAAGTACGACGTCTTGTATTTTGATCTCTCATTCCAACTGCCAGTTATATCATGTTTGAATACATTCTCTCCACAGACTACAACCGTGGCTACGACCATCCCTTGTCACTCAGCAACTACGGCCGACCACCGTGCGCACCATCAGTCAGTATGCACCATCAGAACCACATGGGTCAATCTTCGCACAACTCCGTCTCAACGGGTAGGTCGACTAGTACTTCAGAAACGGGGTGATCTAAGTATATCACTGCTAGTAATAAAGTAATGTCGTCTACAACGGGCCGGCCAGCTAGTATTTCAACATTAATATGACGTTCATAAAACATAACACAATAGTCTAACTATTATAAATTTCGGTAGAGCTGAGGCTATGTCATGAGCCTTGATCTAATACTTTCAAATTTTAAAAAGTTAAAATATTTTTAAAAATGAACTTAATTTTTTTTTTAAAATTCACACTAAAAATTATATTGTTTTTTTTTAAATAATAGTCTTACCCGTTAGTTAATACCTTTAGTGTCAAAATTACAGAAGAAGTACGTGTCAGTTTATTTCTTAAATGACAAGCTAAACATTAGTTTAATTGTTTTTAAATATTGTTACCTTATTTCTTGAATTTAAATATCTTTTAATTATAATTTGAACTTATTATAGAAAAAAATAGAACTAGATAAGACGAAGCTACTTAAACTAAGGAACTATTTTCTTGCGCGTCGTAATCTAACAATGTGTTTTGTCACCCTCAGGTTTGATTTCGCCCGGTGTATCAGTGCCCCTCCAAGTGCCAGGGGGCACTCAAGACATGGGCGCCCACCACATGGGCGCCATGACCCACCAGTACTGGCCCCGCATCCAATGACGCCAGGGGGACGTGTGGGTGTGACCTGACCACGTCACAGATTTCACGTCAAACCAACCTGCACATAAACTGATGACGTCATATGGATAAAATCATATTTGATGATGACGTTCTGCCATAAGACTCCATCTAAAAAAACAATTTTAAAATACACGTTTAAAAAAACTTTAAAACAGTTATGTTTATTAAAAATACATAGTATTTATAAACGCTTCAACATATTCACAATGGTGAATACAAATTGTTCCGCAGTATTGTTGGAAAACATATTCTGAAAAGGGCTTACATAATAAAATTTAAAAATCTTCTTCAACAAAGATGATTTCAGCATGCCAAGCAAGACTACATCAAATTCAGTTTATTTTTCCAAATGAAAAAAAAAGGAAACAAAAAGAAAACAAAGATTTTCTGTGTGAAAAAAAAAAAACTAGTTTCAGACTACACGTTAATCTGATTTTATATTATTCCCATATAGACCCATTTTATTCATAATGAGAAGAGCGTTTGATAAAACTCAGTCATGTGTAAACTTACGTATGTGGAAGTTTCCCAACATGCGCCTGTATTGGGTGGATTGACTGCACAGTTGCAAGGAATTCATTTTTGTGTGTGTATGCAAGCCAAAAGAAAACAACAACATACGTTTCACGTGTTTTGGATGCGGTTTCTCGGAGACGCTTAGCTATAGTTACTACTAGCTGAAGTTGCTACTAGCTGTAGTTATCTCTAGCTTAAGCTTCAGTTAACATTAACTTGGCTACACAAGTTCCAGTAATTGCTAGGTAGAATGGCTACTTGCTTCTTTTATCATTTGCTAAAAGCTCCAATATCGCAAGATGCCGTTGCTACTAGCTTTATTTATCACTAGCTAAACTGGTCAGATAAAGTTATCGCTCGCTACAAAAGCAGCTAGCTCCAGTTACCACTAACTAGAGTTACAACTAGCCAGGGTTACTTCTAGAATTCCCACTGGTATACCACTTGCCTGGATCAACACAAACATATACTGCCATTCCATCTAGTTACAACTAGAATGGTTCAAATTACTTCTAGTACGTACGCCACGAAAAATCTTCAGTGCAACATTTTCTGGTTATTCTTTCACACTGTTGAAAAAAAAATATGATATCTAAAAACAAATTCCAGAAGACATTTGCAAAAAGTGTTGTATGCAATGTTTGCTCAATTACAGTACTAAAGAAATTGTGGCTGGTTTTTACACTCCGTGAATATTTTTCTATTCTTGAAAATCTGAAAACGGAATTTTTTTTCCGCCCAAGAAATAACTTTGTGGTTCCAAATAGAATACAAGTGGCCAAAACAACGATGTTGGCCCAACGTTAACTGTTCTGGCCCACACAGCAACTTGCTGGCCCGAAGAAACGTTGTTGGCCTCGAGACAATGTGCTAGACGAGAACTGAATAAAACTGTTTCCTTTCCCTCCCTAATAAACTAAACAAGTACTGGCCAAAAAGACAATTAGGTTGGCCTGGACACACCGCAGCATTGATGATGGCCCAGATTGACAGTTGGCCAATATACTTGGGCCAAGATTGAAGCCAGAATTGTGACAAAACATTCAGTAACAGCTTCAAAAACGTTTCAAACATCACCCATCTCCTCTATATTTGGCACGCCAATGTCTACTCTACAACTAGGGCTGACCAACTTCAGAACAGCGACGCTCTCTTCTGCACGAAGGAAACTTTAAGGATTTCAACTTTCCCAGATGTATATTTTCATATTTTCTTTGTGAACATTCAATTTATTTATCTTTTATAAAATGCTCATTGCGAAAAAAAAATTATCTTGACATATTTACTAAAAGATATGTTCAAGATTCTGGTTGTACCATGTTATAGATAAAATTATAATCTTATCTAGTCTTATTAACCTTTAATTTTCATGTAGTACACTGCAGTGTGTCTTTTAGTTTAGCTTCAAGTGTTAATACATTCAAATCTCAGAAATATAACTGCAGTTTTAATAGTTGTATGATGATAAACTGTTAGCTTTTACAAAAAAAAATGTAAGTTTATCATATGCGTAACGGATGTATATCTGTTTGTCATGACAGTTTATGTGTGCATGTGTTTAATATGTGTGTTCATGTATGTGCTGTGTGTTTAGCTTGTGTTCAACATGTGCTAAAGTGTAAGCACATTTTGCCTATAGTCGACAGGCTATAGACAACCCTGCTCAATATTTACTCTCTAAACACACGAAAAAACACGGACGACTTCAAATCAAACCACACACACATTTCTCCCGTGTTTATTTCAGATCATGTTCGAATTCAACACACTAAAATAAACACACCGTGTGAAATCGAAAACGAGGCCCCGTGCACTTAAATACTCATTTAGTTGTAGAAATAACCACAAAAAAACCAACAATTATTTAAACATTTTTTGTATTATTTTTTGTAATATATTATAATTATGACTTGGTGTATTTGATTGGATGTCTATAAAAGCCAACAATGACAGCTAATTGATACAATCTTTAAGAGTGCGTTACTTGTATTAGGGTTTTTTCTTTAATGTGGTTTTTTTCTGGTAATTTAAAAACTGAATCTTAATTAGATTGAGGGAACAATATTCTCTTAAATTTATTTTTTCTAATAACTACATCGTTTAAAAAAATGTAATTTCATTATTTTTAAAGATTTTATTTTAAAAAAAAATCAAAACTTGTAATGTACATAAAGAGGACTTGTGAATTATACAATGTGGAACTGGTTTAATACTTGCAATTACCTTTCTTTTTAAAATGCTACATTGGAACTAAAACTATAATTTAATTTAAAGATTAAAAAAAAATAAAACAGTGTAACTAAGGATATATGCCTATATCATTACTCTTTTTAAATTATACAATGAAATTAAATTTAAAATACACACACAAATCATCATAATTTAACTTCCTAGGGTACATGTTTTTTTGTTTCAAATTACTACTAATACAAATGCAAATGTTTTATGGGTCAATGGAATTATTAAACACCGTATTTTGACTTTTTTTTTGGGATAATTGAGCGGTATTTAAAAAAAAAATTGTAATAATTATAGGTTTTGTGAATTACTGAGAGGGCTCGTTTTTATGTACTCTTTAATAATGAATTTCTTAATATTTTTTTAACTTGAAAACCTATTTTAATTAAATGATTTCTTAAAAAAATATGTGCAAATATGGAATATGACATTTATTCGCAAATTTATGTAAATATATAAATAAATATTGCAGATATAAATAAATAATAGCGTGAAACTAAAAGATCTCATAAACTGACTGAGACACAGAATACGTGAGGATGAGAATGATCCATGAATGAGTAGCGTTCACTTGAGAATCGAAAAACGTTTGTACACAGTGTTTACATTTATTTTGGTGAGCGATTTAATAATTTAACAAAATGCATTGATTTATATTTTTCTTGTATGTTTTTTTTTGCAAAGTAAATGTGTGTGTTTGAAATAGGTGAGGACATGATGTTGATCTTATAATACTTGGTTAAAAATATTGAGATGTAGGCCTATCTTGTAAGTTTTGTTTGGTTAGATATCTCGAGATTTTACTTGAATGTCGCTTGTGTTTTGGTTGTGAGACTTGTAATGATGAATGGTGGTTATAAATAGAACGCGAGGTAAACAAGCTCAGTACGAGACAGAATGCGAGTTTTGCATGTTTGGTTAATATATTATTAAATAATTGTTTAAAAAAATATTTGTACTGGAGTTTTTTGAATTAGAACAAATGAGAAGGTTAGTGGGGTTTAATGAAAGTTAGAAGAATGGCCACGATAAAGTCGGGCATAATTAAATAACTGGCCATAATAGAGGACTGAGTTTCAGTTAAAAACGTGTAAACAGTTTGATTTTGAAAAAAAAAACCGAAAACAATTAACCCGTTCTATTTACAAAAAAAATAAATAAATAAAAATAAATGCTTCCTGGCGAGTAAGAGAATGTTGGGCCAGCTTAAGTTAGTAGATTACTAGATTGATTCAGGGGCGTAACATGGTGACTGCATGACAACATTGATTTATTTTGATTGACTGGTATAATTAAATGATCGATTATTTTAATTTCTTGCGTGGTTTGATTAATTGTTTGTCTTTATTAAAAATTGATGAATTTCTTATGGGGTTATTTCACAAATGTTTGTATGAATTAAAAATCACGTGGAAATCTAATGTCTTTATTTATGTCACCTACTTATCATACGTTTGTCACATGCATGTCATTTATGTGTCATTCACCTGTCATACGTTCTCGTATATATGTGTTACATGTTAAAACTTGAAACGACTGACATAACATTTTGTCAGTGCTGCTACAAAAACAACGAGGTACTTTGCAAGCACATACACTATATTTTACCTGGGGTATGACTTACATAATGAGTTGTTTGTGTTATTACTTCCATTACAAGGTCTTTGTGATGTAGTAGACATATTAAATTACCTGTGTTAAGGCTCTGAATTATCTATGACAAACACCATGAGTTAGCTGATATATATCATACATCACGAGTTACCTGATATATATCACACACCAAGAGCTACCTGATATATATCACACACCAAAAGCTACCTGATACATATCACACATCATGATTTACCTGATATATATCACACATCATCGGTTACCTTATATATCTCACATATCAAGAGTTACTTGATATATATCACACATCATGAGTTACCTGATATATCTCACATATCAAGAGTTACTTGATATATATCACACATCATGAGTTACCTGCCTCCACACCTTCAGGTACCTGTGACAATAAACACAACCATGACTTATCTGTGCTGCACACCTGTGACCTAACACAAACACACATTAAGTTACCTGGCTGCACACCTCGAGTTACCTGTGATGATAAACACACTATAAGTTACCTGTGCTAAGCATCTTGAAATACCTGTGATACAACACACTTGAGATACGCAGGATAACACACACTATGAGTTACATTCTGCACACATTAAATTATCTGTGATGATGAACACATCATGACCTGTTCTACACATCTCTATTACCTGTTATAAAGTGTGAGTATTTTGGTCATCTAAGGTGTCGATGTGTTGGTCTTCTGTGGATGTGTTGGTCATCTGTGGATGTGTTGGTCATCTGTGGATGTGTTGTTCATCTGTGGATGTGTTGGTCATCTGTGAATGTGTTGGTCATCTGTGTTGTGGATGTGTTGGTCATCTGTGGATGTGTTGGTCATCTGTGGATGTGTTGGTCATCTGTGGATGTGTTGGTCATCTGTGGATGTGTTGGTCATCTGTGGATGTGTTGGTCATCTGTGGATGTGTTGGTCATCTGTGGTGTGGATGTGTTGGTCATCTGTGGATGTGTTGTTCATCTGTGGATGTGTTGGTCATCTGTGAATGTGTTGGTCCTCTGAGGTGTTGATGTGTTGGTCATCTGTGGATGTGTTGGTCATCTGTGGATGTGTTGGTCATCTGTGGATGTGTTGGTCATCTGTGGATGTGTTGGTCATCTGTGGATGTGTTGGTCATCTGTGGATGTGTTGGTCATCTGTGGTGTGGATGTGTTGGTCATCTGTGGATGTGTTGGTTATCTGTGAATGTGTTGGTCATCTGTGGATGTGTTGGTCATCTGTGAATGTGTTGGTCCTCTGAGGTGTGGATGTGTTGGTCATCTTAGGATGTGTTGGTCATCTGTGGATGTGTTGGTCATCTGTGGATGTGTTGGTCATCTGTGGATGTGTTGGTCATCTGTGGATGTGTTAGTCATCTGTGGATGTGTTGGTCATCTGTGGATGTGTTGGTCATCTGTGGTGTGGATGTGTTGGTCATCTGTGGATGTGTTGGTCATCTGTGGATGTGTTGGTCATCTGTTGATGTGTTGGACATCTGTGGATGTGTTGGTCATCTGTGGATGTGTTGGTCATCTGTGGATGTGTTGGTCATCTGTGGATGTGTTGGTCATCTGATGTGTGGATGTGTTGGACATCTGTGGATGTGTTGGTCATCTGTGGATGTGTTGGTCATCTGTGAATGTGTTGGTCCTCTGAGGTGTGGATGTGTTGGTCATCTTAGGATGTGTTGGTCATCTGTGGATGTGTTGGTCATCTGTGGATGTGTTGGTCATCTGTGGATGTGTTGGTCATCTGTGGATGTGTTAGTCATCTGTGGATGTGTTGGTCATCTGTGGATGTGTTGGTCATCTGTGGTGTGGATGTGTTGGTCATCTGTGGATGTGTTGGTCATCTGTGGATGTGTTGGTCATCTGTTGATGTGTTGGTGATCTGTGAAAGTGTTGGTCATCTGTGGATGTGTTAGACATTTGTGAATGTGTTGGTCATCTTTGGATGTGTTGGTCATCTGTGGATGTGTTGGTCATCTGTGGATGTGTTGGTCATCTTTGGATGTGTTGGTCATCTGTGGATGTGTTGGTCATCTGTGGATGTGTTGGTCATCTGTGGATGTGTTGGTCATCTGTTGATGTGTTGGACATCTGTGGATGTGTTGGTCATCTGTGGATGTGTTGGTCATCTGTGGATGTGTTGGTCATCTGTGGATGTGTTGGTCATCTGATGTGTGGATGTGTTGGACATCTGTGGATGTGTTGGTCATCTGTGGATGTGTTGGTCATCTGTGGATGTGTTGGTCATCTATGGTGTGGATGTGTGCGTCATCTGTGGTGTGGATGTGTTGGTCATCTGTGGATGTGTTGGTCATCGGTGGATGTGTTCGTCATCTGTGGTGTGGATGTGTTGGTCATCTGCGGTGCGGATGTGTTGGTCATCTGTGGATGTGTTGATCATCTTAGGATGTGTTGGTCATCTGTGGATGTGTTGGTCATCTGTGGATATGTTGGTCATCTGTGGATGTGTTGGTCATCTGTGTTGTGGATGTGTTGGTCATCTGCGGTGCGGATGTGTTGGTCATCTGTGGATGTGTTGGTCATCTGCGGTGCGGATGTGTTGGTCATCTGTGGATGTGTTGGTCATCTGCGGTGCGGATGTGTTGGTCATCTGTGGATGTGTTGGTCATCTGGATGTGTTGGTCATCTGCGGTGCGGATGTGTTGGTCATCTGTGGATGTGTTTTATTTTTGAAAACAAAATTGATTCAAATACAAGTGAATAGTTTGCTTATGAGACTACACACATGCAAGCTTGTGTTGCATGTGTGCTGACTTACATTTCTGAGTAAAGACAAAATGTGTGTGGTGTTACAGTGGAGGAGCAGGCAAATGTGCAACCCCTCCCCTTTAAATACAAAAAAAAAATACGGAATTCTTACTTTTGATGCCCCGTAAAGAATATGAACCAAAAATGTAACCCCCCCCCCCCTTTTTTTTTTCTTTGAGATAATTCTAAAATGCCCCTCCCCCCAGACACACACAAATGACCACCCCATCCGCACCCCTATAGGTACGCTTGTATCTCAAAGTGTTGATTACACAACCCGTTTACCCAAGTTTGAGCCTACTTAATAACGACTGGCTTCGTACGTCTTTTCTCCCTAGGGTTGTATTGGTTGAAAAACTCTAATTAAAAAAAATATAAAGACAGTATCGTTTTTATTATAATATCACAGAGTCAAATTGGCATTGTGTAAGAAAACACATGGGTTCATGGGTAGCTTATTTCAAAATAAAGGATTTTCTTTCATTGGTCCCACATTATTTCTGTTCAATTTTTAAATCTAACGTATAAAAAAATATTTTACCCAAAAGATTGAACAATCAAAATAATAACATTTTTCGAACATATATTTTCAACCCTGGACCGAACAAAATTACATTGACATTTTTTATTGTGGTCTTAGAAATTTTGGCGAGGTGCCAGTTGTTCTCTGGCAAAGTTACGGAAGACGGGTTGGTAACACATCAAAACCAAATATAAAAACAGTCTGTAGTTTGTGAAGCTAGTTTTTTTTAGTAAATTCCAAAAAATATTTTAATCGAATATTTTTATAGCAGTGTTAATTATTTTTTTTTTTTTTTCAAATTCTTGATTTTAATTTTTTTAATCGAGTCAAATATTAAGAAAAGATTAAAGAAAATAGTTCCTAATCTTCTAGCAAAAAAAAAAATCGATTTTATGTCAACACATATTGTTTTAAATGCCGAACGTTTCGCGTTAATTGTTTCAGCAACGAGCATAATCTTCAGGTATGAAGATTTCGCACACGCAAACACAGTAATCTCATTTAAGAACAGGGGATAGAAGGATTTTCCCGTTGCAATATTATAACACCATCGTACTGGATTTCAGTGGCGTCACTAGGTCGTGTGTCACCCCCCCCCCCCCCAATCTCGCCTCTAATGACGCCTCTGCTAGGTTCACAGGATTAGTTGACTAAAATTTTTAACTTGGTGCCGCTTATAAAATCATTGCCGCCTGTGATATTTAACAAAGAGGTTGTAAAAATGTAAATCTCATTGCTGCCTGTGATATTTCGGCCTCTCATATCTAACACGATGGTTGCATTCTACTTTCAGCTCGATGCCGCCTATGCCAAGCTACTCTCTCTCCAACAACATACCCCCCAACCCAGCCTGTTTGCAGTCGTCTGCTCCTTCGTCCTACTCGTGTATGTTACCCGGTAAGTGGAGCGGTAAGTTTCCGGTTCTGCTTTCTCCATTTCTGATTGGCTAGTTCACAAAAATCACAGAAAATAGCCTACTCATAGGTTGGAATTGTATATATATATATATATATATATATATATATATATATATATATATATATATATATATATATATATATATGTATATATATATAATATATATATAAATATGTATAGCCTATATATATATATATACTTATTATATATATATATATATACATATATAAATATAATATATAAATATGTATAGCCTATAGGCCTATATATATATACTTATAATATATATATATATATATATATATATATATATATATATATATATATATATATATATATATATATATATATATATATAGTTAAAATTTAACTTAACATAAGTTTTATAATTTGTTTTCATTTTGTAATTAAATCATTATAGAAATACTATTCTATAAATAACTAGCTTCTGAATTAAATAATTAATTTATAATTAGCATTTAATGACTTAAGTACGACGTCTTGTATTTTGATCTCTCATTCCAACTGCCAGTTATATCATGTTTGAATACATTCTCTCCACAGACTACAACCGTGGCTACGACCATCCCTTGTCACTCAGCAACTACGGCCGACCACCGTGCGCACCATCAGTCAGTATGCACCATCAGAACCACATGGGTCAATCTTCGCACAACTCCGTCTCAACGGGTAGGTCGACTAGTACTTCAGAAACGGGGTGATCTAAGTATATCACTGCTAGTAATAAAGTAATGTCGTCTACAACGGGCCGGCCAGCTAGTATTTCAACATTAATATGACGTTCATAAAACATAACACAATAGTCTAACTATTATAAATTTCGGTAGAGCTGAGGCTATGTCATGAGCCTTGATCTAATACTTTCAAATTTTAAAAAGTTAAAATATTTTTAAAAATGAACTTAATTTTTTTTTTAAAATTCACACTAAAAATTATATTGTTTTTTTTTAAATAATAGTCTTACCCGTTAGTTAATACCTTTAGTGTCAAAATTACAGAAGAAGTACGTGTCAGTTTATTTCTTAAATGACAAGCTAAACATTAGTTTAATTGTTTTTAAATATTGTTACCTTATTTCTTGAATTTAAATATCTTTTAATTATAATTTGAACTTATTATAGAAAAAAATAGAACTAGATAAGACGAAGCTACTTAAACTAAGGAACTATTTTCTTGCGCGTCGTAATCTAACAATGTGTTTTGTCACCCTCAGGTTTGATTTCGCCCGGTGTATCAGTGCCCCTCCAAGTGCCAGGGGGCACTCAAGACATGGGCGCCCACCACATGGGCGCCATGACCCACCAGTACTGGCCCCGCATCCAATGACGCCAGGGGGACGTGTGGGTGTGACCTGACCACGTCACAGATTTCACGTCAAACCAACCTGCACATAAACTGATGACGTCATATGGATAAAATCATATTTGATGATGACGTTCTGCCATAAGACTCCATCTAAAAAAACAATTTTAAAATACACGTTTAAAAAAACTTTAAAACAGTTATGTTTATTAAAAATACATAGTATTTATAAACGCTTCAACATATTCACAATGGTGAATACAAATTGTTCCGCAGTATTGTTGGAAAACATATTCTGAAAAGGGCTTACATAATAAAATTTAAAAATCTTCTTCAACAAAGATGATTTCAGCATGCCAAGCAAGACTACATCAAATTCAGTTTATTTTTCCAAATGAAAAAAAAAGGAAACAAAAAGAAAACAAAGATTTTCTGTGTGAAAAAAAAAAAAACTAGTTTCAGACTACACGTTAATCTGATTTTATATTATTCCCATATAGACCCATTTTATTCATAATGAGAAGAGCGTTTGATAAAACTCAGTCATGTGTAAACTTACGTATGTGGAAGTTTCCCAACATGCGCCTGTATTGGGTGGATTGACTGCACAGTTGCAAGGAATTCATTTTTGTGTGTGTATGCAAGCCAAAAGAAAACAACAACATACGTTTCACGTGTTTTGGATGCGGTTTCTCGGAGACGCTTAGCTATAGTTACTACTAGCTGAAGTTGCTACTAGCTGTAGTTATCTCTAGCTTAAGCTTCAGTTAACATTAACTTGGCTACACAAGTTCCAGTAATTGCTAGGTAGAATGGCTACTTGCTTCTTTTATCATTTGCTAAAAGCTCCAATATCGCAAGATGCCGTTGCTACTAGCTTTATTTATCACTAGCTAAACTGGTCAGATAAAGTTATCGCTCGCTACAAAAGCAGCTAGCTCCAGTTACCACTAACTAGAGTTACAACTAGCCAGGGTTACTTCTAGAATTCCCACTGGTATACCACTTGCCTGGATCAACACAAACATATACTGCCATTCCATCTAGTTACAACTAGAATGGTTCAAATTACTTCTAGTACGTACGCCACGAAAAATCTTCAGTGCAACATTTTCTGGTTATTCTTTCACACTGTTGAAAAAAAAATATGATATCTAAAAACAAATTCCAGAAGACATTTGCAAAAAGTGTTGTATGCAATGTTTGCTCAATTACAGTACTAAAGAAATTGTGGCTGGTTTTTACACTCCGTGAATATTTTTCTATTCTTGAAAATCTGAAAACGGAATTTTTTTTCCGCCCAAGAAATAACTTTGTGGTTCCAAATAGAATACAAGTGGCCAAAACAACGATGTTGGCCCAACGTTAACTGTTCTGGCCCACACAGCAACTTGCTGGCCCGAAGAAACGTTGTTGGCCTCGAGACAATGTGCTAGACGAGAACTGAATAAAACTGTTTCCTTTCCCTCCCTAATAAACTAAACAAGTACTGGCCAAAAAGACAATTAGGTTGGCCTGGACACACCGCAGCATTGATGATGGCCCAGATTGACAGTTGGCCAATATACTTGGGCCAAGATTGAAGCCAGAATTGTGACAAAACATTCAGTAACAGCTTCAAAAACGTTTCAAACATCACCCATCTCCTCTATATTTGGCACGCCAATGTCTACTCTACAACTAGGGCTGACCAACTTCAGAACAGCGACGCTCTCTTCTGCACGAAGGAAACTTTAAGGATTTCAACTTTCCCAGATGTATATTTTCATATTTTCTTTGTGAACATTCAATTTATTTATCTTTTATAAAATGCTCATTGCGAAAAAAAAATTATCTTGACATATTTACTAAAAGATATGTTCAAGATTCTGGTTGTACCATGTTATAGATAAAATTATAATCTTATCTAGTCTTATTAACCTTTAATTTTCATGTAGTACACTGCAGTGTGTCTTTTAGTTTAGCTTCAAGTGTTAATACATTCAAATCTCAGAAATATAACTGCAGTTTTAATAGTTGTATGATGATAAACTGTTAGCTTTTACAAAAAAAAATGTAAGTTTATCATATGCGTAACGGATGTATATCTGTTTGTCATGACAGTTTATGTGTGCATGTGTTTAATATGTGTGTTCATGTATGTGCTGTGTGTTTAGCTTGTGTTCAACATGTGCTAAAGTGTAAGCACATTTTGCCTATAGTCGACAGGCTATAGACAACCCTGCTCAATATTTACTCTCTAAACACACGAAAAAACACGGACGACTTCAAATCAAACCACACACACATTTCTCCCGTGTTTATTTCAGATCATGTTCGAATTCAACACACTAAAATAAACACACCGTGTGAAATCGAAAACGAGGCCCCGTGCACTTAAATACTCATTTAGTTGTAGAAATAACCACAAAAAAACCAACAATTATTTAAACATTTTTTGTATTATTTTTTGTAATATATTATAATTATGACTTGGTGTATTTGATTGGATGTCTATAAAAGCCAACAATGACAGCTAATTGATACAATCTTTAAGAGTGCGTTACTTGTATTAGGGTTTTTTCTTTAATGTGGTTTTTTTCTGGTAATTTAAAAACTGAATCTTAATTAGATTGAGGGAACAATATTCTCTTAAATTTATTTTTTCTAATAACTACATCGTTTAAAAAAATGTAATTTCATTATTTTTAAAGATTTTATTTAAAAAAAAAATCAAAACTTGTAATGTACATAAAGAGGACTTGTGAATTATACAATGTGGAACTGGTTTAATACTTGCAATTACCTTTCTTTTTAAAATGCTACATTGGAACTAAAACTATAATTTAATTTAAAGATTAAAAAAAAATAAAACAGTGTAACTAAGGATATATGCCTATATCATTACTCTTTTTAAATTATACAATGAAATTAAATTTAAAATACACACACAAATCATCATAATTTAACTTCCTAGGGTACATGTTTTTTTGTTTCAAATTACTACTAATACAAATGCAAATGTTTTATGGGTCAATGGAATTATTAAACACCGTATTTTGACTTTTTTTTTGGGATAATTGAGCGGTATTTAAAAAAAAAATTGTAATAATTATAGGTTTTGTGAATTACTGAGAGGGCTCGTTTTTATGTACTCTTTAATAATGAATTTCTTAATATTTTTTTAACTTGAAAACCTATTTTAATTAAATGATTTCTTAAAAAAATATGTGCAAATATGGAATATGACATTTATTCGCAAATTTATGTAAATATATAAATAAATATTGCAGATATAAATAAATAATAGCGTGAAACTAAAAGATCTCATAAACTGACTGAGACACAGAATACGTGAGGATGAGAATGATCCATGAATGAGTAGCGTTCACTTGAGAATCGAAAAACGTTTGTACACAGTGTTTACATTTATTTTGGTGAGCGATTTAATAATTTAACAAAATGCATTGATTTATATTTTTCTTGTATGTTTTTTTTTGCAAAGTAAATGTGTGTGTTTGAAATAGGTGAGGACATGATGTTGATCTTATAATACTTGGTTAAAAATATTGAGATGTAGGCCTATCTTGTAAGTTTTGTTTGGTTAGATATCTCGAGATTTTACTTGAATGTCGCTTGTGTTTTGGTTGTGAGACTTGTAATGATGAATGGTGGTTATAAATAGAACGCGAGGTAAACAAGCTCAGTACGAGACAGAATGCGAGTTTTGCATGTTTGGTTAATATATTATTAAATAATTGTTTAAAAAAATATTTGTACTGGAGTTTTTTGAATTAGAACAAATGAGAAGGTTAGTGGGGTTTAATGAAAGTTAGAAGAATGGCCACGATAAAGTCGGGCATAATTAAATAACTGGCCATAATAGAGGACTGAGTTTCAGTTAAAAACGTGTAAACAGTTTGATTTTGAAAAAAAAAACCGAAAACAATTAACCCGTTCTATTTACAAAAAAAATAAATAAATAAAAATAAATGCTTCCTGGCGAGTAAGAGAATGTTGGGCCAGCTTAAGTTAGTAGATTACTAGATTGATTCAGGGGCGTAACATGGTGACTGCATGACAACATTGATTTATTTTGATTGACTGGTATAATTAAATGATCGATTATTTTAATTTCTTGCGTGGTTTGATTAATTGTTTGTCTTTATTAAAAATTGATGAATTTCTTATGGGGTTATTTCACAAATGTTTGTATGAATTAAAAATCACGTGGAAATCTAATGTCTTTATTTATGTCACCTACTTATCATACGTTTGTCACATGCATGTCATTTATGTGTCATTCACCTGTCATACGTTCTCGTATATATGTGTTACATGTTAAAACTTGAAACGACTGACATAACATTTTGTCAGTGCTGCTACAAAAACAACGAGGTACTTTGCAAGCACATACACTATATTTTACCTGGGGTATGACTTACATAATGAGTTGTTTGTGTTATTACTTCCATTACAAGGTCTTTGTGATGTAGTAGACATATTAAATTACCTGTGTTAAGGCTCTGAATTATCTATGACAAACACCATGAGTTAGCTGATATATATCATACATCACGAGTTACCTGATATATATCACACACCAAGAGCTACCTGATATATATCACACACCAAAAGCTACCTGATACATATCACACATCATGATTTACCTGATATATATCACACATCATCGGTTACCTTATATATCTCACATATCAAGAGTTACTTGATATATATCACACATCATGAGTTACCTGATATATCTCACATATCAAGAGTTACTTGATATATATCACACATCATGAGTTACCTGCCTCCACACCTTCAGGTACCTGTGACAATAAACACAACCATGACTTATCTGTGCTGCACACCTGTGACCTAACACAAACACACATTAAGTTACCTGGCTGCACACCTCGAGTTACCTGTGATGATAAACACACTATAAGTTACCTGTGCTAAGCATCTTGAAATACCTGTGATACAACACACTTGAGATACGCAGGATAACACACACTATGAGTTACATTCTGCACACATTAAATTATCTGTGATGATGAACACATCATGACCTGTTCTACACATCTCTATTACCTGTTATAAAGTGTGAGTATTTTGGTCATCTAAGGTGTCGATGTGTTGGTCTTCTGTGGATGTGTTGGTCATCTGTGGATGTGTTGGTCATCTGTGGATGTGTTGTTCATCTGTGGATGTGTTGGTCATCTGTGAATGTGTTGGTCATCTGTGTTGTGGATGTGTTGGTCATCTGTGGATGTGTTGGTCATCTGTGGATGTGTTGGTCATCTGTGGATGTGTTGGTCATCTGTGGATGTGTTGGTCATCTGTGGATGTGTTGGTCATCTGTGGATGTGTTGGTCATCTGTGGTGTGGATGTGTTGGTCATCTGTGGATGTGTTGTTCATCTGTGGATGTGTTGGTCATCTGTGAATGTGTTGGTCCTCTGAGGTGTTGATGTGTTGGTCATCTGTGGATGTGTTGGTCATCTGTGGATGTGTTGGTCATCTGTGGATGTGTTGGTCATCTGTGGATGTGTTGGTCATCTGTGGATGTGTTGGTCATCTGTGGATGTGTTGGTCATCTGTGGTGTGGATGTGTTGGTCATCTGTGGATGTGTTGGTTATCTGTGAATGTGTTGGTCATCTGTGGATGTGTTGGTCATCTGTGAATGTGTTGGTCCTCTGAGGTGTGGATGTGTTGGTCATCTTAGGATGTGTTGGTCATCTGTGGATGTGTTGGTCATCTGTGGATGTGTTGGTCATCTGTGGATGTGTTGGTCATCTGTGGATGTGTTAGTCATCTGTGGATGTGTTGGTCATCTGTGGATGTGTTGGTCATCTGTGGTGTGGATGTGTTGGTCATCTGTGGATGTGTTGGTCATCTGTGGATGTGTTGGTCATCTGTTGATGTGTTGGACATCTGTGGATGTGTTGGTCATCTGTGGATGTGTTGGTCATCTGTGGATGTGTTGGTCATCTGTGGATGTGTTGGTCATCTGATGTGTGGATGTGTTGGACATCTGTGGATGTGTTGGTCATCTGTGGATGTGTTGGTCATCTGTGAATGTGTTGGTCCTCTGAGGTGTGGATGTGTTGGTCATCTTAGGATGTGTTGGTCATCTGTGGATGTGTTGGTCATCTGTGGATGTGTTGGTCATCTGTGGATGTGTTGGTCATCTGTGGATGTGTTAGTCATCTGTGGATGTGTTGGTCATCTGTGGATGTGTTGGTCATCTGTGGTGTGGATGTGTTGGTCATCTGTGGATGTGTTGGTCATCTGTGGATGTGTTGGTCATCTGTTGATGTGTTGGTGATCTGTGAAAGTGTTGGTCATCTGTGGATGTGTTAGACATTTGTGAATGTGTTGGTCATCTTTGGATGTGTTGGTCATCTGTGGATGTGTTGGTCATCTGTGGATGTGTTGGTCATCTTTGGATGTGTTGGTCATCTGTGGATGTGTTGGTCATCTGTGGATGTGTTGGTCATCTGTGGATGTGTTGGTCATCTGTTGATGTGTTGGACATCTGTGGATGTGTTGGTCATCTGTGGATGTGTTGGTCATCTGTGGATGTGTTGGTCATCTGTGGATGTGTTGGTCATCTGATGTGTGGATGTGTTGGACATCTGTGGATGTGTTGGTCATCTGTGGATGTGTTGGTCATCTGTGGATGTGTTGGTCATCTATGGTGTGGATGTGTGCGTCATCTGTGGTGTGGATGTGTTGGTCATCTGTGGATGTGTTGGTCATCGGTGGATGTGTTCGTCATCTGTGGTGTGGATGTGTTGGTCATCTGCGGTGCGGATGTGTTGGTCATCTGTGGATGTGTTGATCATCTTAGGATGTGTTGGTCATCTGTGGATGTGTTGGTCATCTGTGGATATGTTGGTCATCTGTGGATGTGTTGGTCATCTGTGTTGTGGATGTGTTGGTCATCTGCGGTGCGGATGTGTTGGTCATCTGTGGATGTGTTGGTCATCTGCGGTGCGGATGTGTTGGTCATCTGTGGATGTGTTGGTCATCTGCGGTGCGGATGTGTTGGTCATCTGTGGATGTGTTGGTCATCTGTGGATGTGTTGGTCATCTGCGGTGCGGATGTGTTGGTCATCTGTGGATGTGTTGGTCATCTGCGGTGCGGATGTGTTGGTCATCTGTGGATGTTTTAGTCATCTGCGGTGCGGATGTGTTGGTCATCGGTGGATGTGTTGGTTATCTGTGTTGTGGATTTGTTGGTCATCTGCGGTGCGGATGTGTTGGTCATCTGTGGATGTGTTGGTCATCTGCGGTGCGGATGTGTTGGTCATCTGTGGATGTGTTGGTCATCTGCGGTGCGGATGTGTTGGTCATCTGTGGATATGTTGGTCATCTGTGGATGTGTTGGTCATCTGTGGATGTGTTGGTCATCTGCGGTGCGGAGGTGTTGGTCATCTGTGGATGTTTTAGTCATCTGCGGTGCGGATGTGTTGGTCATCGGTGGATGTGTTGGTCATCTGTGTTGTGGATTTGTTGGTCATCTGCGGTGCGGATGTGTTGGTCATCTGTGGATGTGTTGGTCATCTTAGGATGTGTTGGTCATCAGTGGATGTGTTGGTCATCTGTGGATGTGTTGGTCATCGGTGGATGTGTTGGTCATCTATGGATGTGTTGGTCATCTGTGGTGTGGATGTGTGCGTCATCTGTGGTGTGGATGTGTTGGTCATCTGTGGATGTGTTGGTCATCTGTGGATGTGTTGGTCATCTGTGGATGTGTTGGTAATCTGATGTGTGGATGTGTTGGTCATCTGTGGTGTGGATGTGTTGGTCATCTGTGGATGTGTTAGACATCTGTGAATGTGTTGGTCATCTGTGGATGTGTTGGTCATCAGCGGTGCGGATGTGTTGGTCATCTGTGGATGTGTTGGTCATCTGCGGTGCGGATGTGTTGGTCATCTGTGGATGTTTTAGTCATCTGCGGTGCGGATGTGTTGGTCATCGGTGGATGTGTTGGTCATCTGTGTTGTGGATTTGTTGGTCATCTGCGGTGCGGATGTGTTGGTCATCTGTGGATGTGTTGGTCATCTTAGGATGTGTTGGTCATCAGTGGATGTGTTGGTCATCTGTGGATGTGTTGGTCATCGGTGGATGTGTTGGTCATCTATGGATGTGTTGGTCATCTGTGGTGTGGATGTGTGCGTCATCTGTGGTGTGGATGTGTTGGTCATCTGTGGTGTGGATGTGTTGGTCATCTGTGGATGTGTTAGACATCTGTGAATGTGTTGGTAATCTGTGGATGTGTTGGTCATCTATGTTGTGGATGTGTTGGTCATCTTAGGATGTGTTGGTCATCTGTGGATGTGTTGGTCATCTGTGGTGTGGATGTGTTGGTCATCTGTAGTGTGGATGTGTTGGTCATCTGTGGATGTGTTAGACATCTGTGGATGTGTAGGTCATCTGTGGATGTGTTGGTCATCTGATGTTTGGATGTGTTGGACATCTGTGAATGTGTTGGTCATCTGTGGATGTGTTGGTCATCTGTGGATGTGTTGGTCATCTGTGGTGTGGATGTGTGCGTCATCTGTGGTGTGGATGTGTTGGTCATCTGTGGATGTGTTGGTCATCTGTGGATGTGTTTGTCATCTGTGGTGTGGATGTGTTGGTCATCTGTGGATGTGTTGGTCATCTGTGGATGTGTTGGTCATCTGTGGATGTGTTGGTCATCTGTGGTGTGGATGTGTTGGTCATCTGTGGTGTGGATGTGTTGTTCATCTGTGTTGTGGAAGTGTTGGTCATCTGTGGATGTGTTGTTCATCTGTGGATGTGTTGGTCATCTTAGGATGTGTTGGTCATCTGATGTGTGGATGTGTTGGTCATCTGTGGATGTGTTGGTCATCTGCGGTGTGGATGTGTTGGTCATCTGTGGATGTGTTGGTCATCTGTGGATGTGTTGGTCATCTGTGGATGTGTTGGTCATCTGTGGTGTGGATGTGTTGGTCATCTGTGGTGTGGATGTGTTGTTCATCTGTGTTGTGGAAGTGTTGGTCATCTGTGGATGTGTTGTTCATCTGTGGATGTGTTGGTCATCTGTGGATGTGTTGATCATCTGATGTGTGGATGTGTTGGTCATCTGTGGATGTGTTGGTCATCTGCGGTGTGGAAGTGTTGGTCATCTGTGGATGTGTTGTTCATCTGTGGATGTGTTGGTCATCTGTGGATGTGTTGGTCATCTGATGT